CCTTCCTCAACTCTCCTCTTGCCTGTTTTTTTTTTTTTTTTGCTAGGGCTTTAGAGAGAGAGCGCACATACACTGATAAACAGCCCCAGTAAAGGTATGTACTAGACACGTTTTTATGTCAGACAGACAGACCCAACTCCTAAGCCTCTCCAGGTGTACTGCCTTAAACACCTGTCCCCAGATACCCCTTCTTCTCTCGGGAATACCTATCAATGCAATGCAGCTAATGCCAGTGCTGTCAGTACTAGCTATCAGAATTAAGTATCTCATAGTTATGCCAGGAAGTCAAACAAGGTCTTTCTCCTTCTCTAAGAAAACAAAGGTCTGAACTTTCCATTAGCCCAGACTCAGACATTGCCAAGAACATGCTCTTTTCACAGGGTGGAATAAACACTGAAGAGGCTTATTCACATGCACTCATTCCCACGTCACAAGGATTTCACATGCCACATTAAACACGGTGACTAATGGTAGACAGCGTAAACAACGACAGACAGCTCAACTCATCTTACAGCATGTCAGCTTCTAATCAAGATCTAACCCCCCGCACCCCCAGCATGTTAACCAATTGCTTTGAGAAATGTGTAGCTTGCAAGAAAATCCTAGCAGAGTGTTAGTTTTTAATCTTATACATTTTCTGCAAGGGGGGATTATATCTTGTGCTTACAAGAGAATGGGCTCTGTGATCTAACATGTCTTTTACAGGGTGAAACAGATTTTATGCTACAACTTAAAAAGGGGTTGGACTAAGGGGAGAGAGAGGGAAATACCTTATTAGAACAAGAATCCAGATTCTGTCTGGCAAATGCTGCTCTCCCAGTGACTGCTAACAAGTGCAAAGAACCGTCAATAGAACCCAAAGAAAAACAGCTAAATGGGTGGAGCAGTTATGACAACACACATCAAACCCAGTCCTCATTGGCCATGGCTCTAGTAGGATTTGCTGCTGTGCTCCACAAATAAGAGAGTTGTTTCTGCCCAATCAAAAGCTGTCCTCAGAGTTGGCCCCCCATTGAAGGGGAGCCAGCCATCCTGTTTGTTAGCACGAAGGGGACAGTGTCTTTTTTTTTAAATGAGACACTCCACAGTATCTCACTTCAAATTTGCCTTCCTTTTCCCTAGATACAAATAACTCATTACAACCTGATTGAGTGCCATCATGGCTGCTATAATATCTGAGCTATAATATTAATCATTAACTTAGATTAATTTAGATTAATCATTAACTTAGGCAAGGTAGCCACAAGCCCTTTAAACCTTTAAACTCAGTGCCTAGTACATAGATCCTGAAGAAATCTTTAAGTTGAAGTTAACCCATTACTAGAACTATTTAGGAATTTATTAGTGACATGCTTTTTATCAGAAAATGCAAGCATCCTACCAGACCACACCAGTTCTGATGAAACCTGAGTGCAGGAAGGTTTCTCAGGTATTGGATGGTATTTCTGGTTGAAGACTTTGTCATCCTAGAGTCCAGAACATCCAAGTGATTAGGGCAGTGATTCTCAGCTAGGGTGCTGGGGATGCTTTGAGATCTTTTGAGGGGTGCTGTGAGGAGATAAGCAGTGGGAGGAGACAAGTGCAGATTCAGGCTGTCCCCCACTGCCCAGTCCCTTTGCAAGGAGGTAAGCATAAGCAGATCCAGGATTTTAGAAAGGGGGTACAGGAGCAGCAACCTGTGCTGCAGAGTTGCCTGCACCCCTCATTCCTACCCCATCCCCCACACCAGGATGGGTAGACTGTGCCACAGAAGCAGCAGTGGGGGACTTTTAAAAGTCCCTCAAGCAGATAAAAATTTCCCCCCCACTTCCCCTCCATACTAATTTACACGCTCCCTCCTCCTCTCTCCCACCCATTGCTGCTGCCACTGTCCTCAGCTGACCTGGGGGCCAGCAGGGAGGAATCCAGAGCTGCTCCTTCCCTGTTGCATCCAGAGTGTGCATGAAGCCAGGCTCAGCAGGAGACAGCAGTGTCAGCAGGCGGGCTCCCTTCCCTTGTGCCTGCTCCTGGGCTGACAAGGAACACCCAAGGGGTCTAGACAGGAAGGAGGAACCTGTGTACAATTAGGGAAGGTAGAAGCAGCTCTGGAGCCTCCTTCTACCTCTGTCCCCAGGGCAGTAGGAGACAGTGGCAGTGGTGGGTGAGGGAATGTGGGGAGAGAAGGGGAGCAGAGGTGCCACTGAGCATGAAGGGAAGAGAGAAGGGATTCATACTTGCTTAAGGAGCATAAAAAATCCCCACCTGTTCTTCCCAGAGCACAGTCAAGTGAAAGGGGGAGAGCATTCACACCACTGCACCCCCCTGGATCCAATCCCTTGAGGTAATACATAAGTTAGCTTTTGAAATGGGGTTCCGATCAATTCACAAAAGTTAGGGAGGGATACCTTGAGTCAAACAAGGGGTGCCTCAAGTCTAAAAAAGTGGAGAACCACCGGATTCAAGCACTCCCCTGTAACATAAGAAGCAAAGCTTGTAGTCCCTGCTTTTCCTGATTCAGACCAGGGACTTGAACCTGGGTCATAGCACATCCCAGGTCAGTAGTCAGAGCACTCATCTGGTATTCTGGGGTAGAGCTCTCATTATCATTTGTGGAAGATGTTCTACTTTCTCTCAGAATTTTTGGTTGTAGCCTTGTTAGTCTAAGGACATAGGCATGCAAGCTTCTCTGGGTAGATGTGGTATCTTTTATTAGACCAACTGAGTAGTTGGTCTAATATCTGTCATTAGACAACTGAGTAGTTTTTTGCAAGGTTTTGCAAGCACCCTTCTTCAAGCATAGGGAGTCTCTGCTGTTCTGAGATCTACAAGGAATGATAGAAGCTAAAAGTGTGACAGGGTGTCAATGAGACTGTAAATAGGTGGCAATTAGGAAAACAAAGGGCAGAGAAGGGAAGGGGAGAAATAAACGGGAAATAGTGCCAAAGGTAAGTAAGGGAGAGTACTGTAGTTGAGTTCTCCAAGGTAGAAAAGAGGCAGTCTGTGGAAAAGTAAATAGTTAGAAATTAGACAGACAAAGGGTAGAAAAGCAGGGTAGGGGAGTGTAAATGGGAAGGTCAGGCAAGTATCTGGTGAATCAGATGTCAGGCAGGTTTAAATGTGTCATATACCCATGTCTATATTGAGTCCATGATTTTTTGTATCTGGTAGATTTATGAAGTTCATAGGCTTGTCTACAAAAGGTGTTCTGTAAGTTCCCTTTGAGGAATAGAACTGAGAGAGAGAGGGAGTGATTGTCCTGTGAGAAGTGTGCACCCAGAGTTAATTGGATATTTTTGTCTTTGATAGATTTTTGGTGTGCATTCATTCTGTTGTGCAGTTGTTTGGTTTGTCTTACATATTTTCCATCAGGGCGTTTGGTGTGGTTATTGTGGGAGTGGTGGAGATGTGGTGGAGGTTTGCATTTCTTGTCTTGGCGTGGTCTGGATCCATTTGCTGTGGCTTGGGCCATAGGAAGTTTGCTTCTAGTGATAAGGTTAGCAAGTTTTGGTGCTTGTTTAAAGGCTAGGGTGGATGGTTCTGGAAAGATCTCTTTAAGAATTAAGTCTTCTTCTAGTATAGATTACAATTGTTTGAGGATTTTCTGTGAAGGTTCCAGGGAAGGGTATGTCATAAATAATGGTGTGTAATTCATGGGGATTTTTTATTCTCACTGACATCCTGTCACACTTTTAGCTTCTTTCATTCCTTGGAGATCTCAGAACAGCAGAGACTCCCTATGCCTGAAGACGGGTGCTTGTGTGCAAAACCTTGCAAAGGACTTTTTTCCAGCTACTCAGTTGGTCTAATAAAAGATATCACACATCTACCCAAAGAAGCTTGCCTTCCACTTTCTCTCAGAAATTAATTGGGCCAGACAAGAGTAGTCAAGATGCTGACTCAATAGCACAGTATTAGGATGCCTACAATGAGGAATCTCTCAATTCAAGGCCTACATCTGTCACTTTCTCACATCCTATGCAAGAATGTTAAGTTCCTGGGCTGTTACAGAACCAAAGTGCTCAACATTGAGGCAGTTGACAGTCGCCCTGAGGAACTGGACTTTATGCTTACTTTTTCCACAGATTTTCTTAGTGATACTAGTGAAGTCACTTATGACAACATTTTCAATGTCCATCACTTAGAGTTGAAATCTATTTCCCCTTGTGCTTATAAATGACAACTTTCTAGCCGTCTAAGTGGCATTTTGGGCACTTATGTGCAGGTAGCAATTCAACTTCTGCTGTGCTGCAGATCTGCAAATGTGTGCGTTCGGACTGAGTCAGGGAGACAGTCAGAAAACTGCCTTATAGACATAGAAAAGGAAATGGAAATCCATCCTTATTGTTTGTCCTTCATTTCATTATCAAAGTAAGATGGCAGTGCCTTGATTTGTAGAAAGTGTCAAGCACCTGAAAAGGTAAAAAGTTGGAATTGTGCTTTGAATGTATAAAGTATTACAAAAAAGCAAAGTATGTTGGACAATTACTTCCAGGTATTTGAAGCTAGGGATCCAAAAATAGTGGACACTTGACTAGTTAGGCCTTTATCTCTCTCCCCCTAAGGATTTCAGCTGTAGAATGAGCAAAGTAATACTGCCTCACCTCAGAGTGGTGTTGTAAAGATTAATTAACAGTTGTCAAGTGCTCAAATAAATGATGATGGAATCCACTGTAGGAAAATTAATAATGTTATTAGTGATAAGAATTGTTGCCACACATTTATTGTGAAATATTGAACAAGCAATCACTTACCATGCCATTAAAGACCAAATCATAATGCATACATAGAACAGGGACAAGTTTAGCTGACATGAATGACCTTAATTGTCGCATTTCCCAACTTCTGAGTACTTGACTTAGCAGCCTTGATTGGCTTTTAACATAGTTTATTGGATAGTATTAAAAATATTATATCTTGTTGAGATGCTTAATAATTATGGGACTATATATTAGTGTGATGGAGAAAGGATTTTAGATGCAAACAACATTTATGACTGTCCAGTATGAGTTTTTGCCCGTTCATTTCTGACAAATTGCCAGAGTCCGTCTTCAACTAGTAATACTGCCATTATTTTTCTTATCTCTGTCGTTTTCTGAAATGAAGAGCACAATGCAGTACCTCTTTGGTCTATCTCCTGTAGTACAAGAACCTGATGAACAGAGGATTGTCATTTCAGCACTAAAGGTTTCAAAAGAGGTGGAATGCAAGTACCGCAAATACTAATTATTTTCAGGAATGCTAGAAAAATGGAACTAGAAAAAAGCAATCATCCATGCTCCTGTTCAAGATAATAACTCAAACACTTGAGATTTCAGAGAGCATTATGTTTGTTGTTTTTATATTTAGTACTGTGCATGCCAACATAGTCTTGCATTCACAAATGATTTGCTAGGTATCATCTCTGATAATCTTAAATCAAGCACAACGGCTACGTTCAGTTGACTTATACTTAGAGAATCTCCTTCTCAGGATCAGTAGTAGTGGCTATTACTTCAGTGACCAAATGCAACTTATTCTTGTCTCCTCCTGGGATGTACAGCCAGGATACACAGGTGGAAATGGGAAGCAGAAGCAGTGGAGCTAGCTTGTGGGAACACTTCTGGATAATTTTTGCATTAGAGAGCTGGTGGCTCTTATTACATTTAGAAGAGAAACTGCAGCGAGAGAGGCCAGGCAGTGGCAAAAACCCTGCTGCCCGAGTCAGGCAAGAGGCCCATCAGGGTAAAGGGTTGCACCTGTGGTTAGTCAAGTGCTCTCTGCCTACAGCTTGCTCACCGCAGAGGAATAGGCCATTGGAGACCTAAGGTCATGGCTACTTACTGCAGGCTTGGCAGTGCACAATAAGCCCACAAGGCAGTCTCTGGCAACCAGGCATTAGGTCCTGAGGAGGAGCCCCTGCAGCTGGTTCAGGAGTCACCTGACCAGAAGGGGGCTGGGCCTGAGGCATATAGGTGTAGAGCCTGAGCTAGCAGTGCAGGCTGCTAGATTGAGAGTTTGAGACTAGAGAGACTGCTGGGGGAATGCTAGGCTGACTAGTTTAGAGCTGCTCATAAACCTGACAGCCTGTGGGTTGCCACAATGTTGCTGTTGTGCTTGATTTAAGACTATGGTAGGTGGTGCCTTAGCAAATCATTTGTGAATGCAAAACTAGCAATGCAAATCGTAGTTGATACCTAGCAAATCATTTGTGAATGCAATACTCCTGCCTTACAGAGGAACACAACCCCAAGTATGAGGAAGTCTGGCTGTAAGATAGCTAGCTGCTGTTGCTGTTGGCTATACCTAGAGCAGATTCTAGTTTGTTACAGTTTACACCTGGTGGTTTGGGTGTGACTGTGAGGGGAGGTTTTTGTAGCTCCCATTACTACCCTAGGGGCATGTGATCCGTCACCCTGAGCCTGGCTGGGTTGGGTGCAGGCTTAAGGTAGAGTGAGCGAGGAGCAAGCCCAGGGCCCAGAGCAGGGCAGGGTATAGGGCCATAGAGCCCAGAGCCTGGTGGAGACAGGGCTAGGGGCTCAGACCAAGGTGA